AATGCTAACAGTTTCTTCATCTTTCATTCTTTCCTTACTGGACTCTTAGTGGTTTGTTTACAATCACATTCAACTCCCCTTCCCTATTATAGTGTTACAGAAATAGGGTGATTTGATTTGAAAAAAACTGATTATTGAAAACAGCAATTAATTCATACTGCTTAACTTGAACATTCATACATATTAGTTTTCCAAGTAAATAAGTAAAATGCCTTGTTAAACTTCCTTTCTGCCAAAAACGTGCTCCCATCTGTGTTCTGCATGGCAGCGTTTTTTAATTTAATACATATGTCCCCTTTTTTAGAAGCATGTTACGAGCTTTAATATGACATGAAACAGAAATGAAATAGTGAAAACACATTGTGTTTCGAGCATGAATGGAAAGTTCAGACTTGTGACATTCAAAGAATTTAGGAGTTCATGTGCCATCCATTAATTTTATGGCAATACTATGAATCCTTAATGTTAGAAAAATTTTAATTGTAATATGTATACATCTTGGAGTTTAGGTTATTTTATTGTTTCAAAGGTAAAAACCTAGTGCTTAAAATAGGTTGTATTTTATCCAATAGTCTGAAAAGCCCCAGTTAGAAAAGGTGCTGTGAAAAGCAATGAGACAGAAGGCAACAGGTTTTGGTCTGAATGCCAGGGGGTCCGAGTTCTGATCCAAATACAGTACCTCACTAACTGTGCCACCTTGGGCAAATCACTCAACTTCTTAGTGTCTCTGTTTCCTTACCTGTGAAACGAGGGGTTTTGCTTAGACGAATAACAATCCATCACTCAGATACCACCATTGCTAACACTTTTAAACATTTTTCGGATCAGTTTTAGAAAGAGGAAGGGGAGAGAGAGAGAGCAACATCAATTTGGTATTCAGTTTTATTTATGCATTCGCTGGTTGATTCTTGTCTGTGCCCTGACCAGGACTGGAACCCGCAACCGTAGTGTATGGGGATGACACTTGAACCGACTAAGCCACCTGGCCAGGGCTGCTAACACTTTTAGCTGTTGCAATGTCATTACAAGTGATGTGTCCACTTTATTTTAAATGACCACATGAGATGCTGCCTTACGGATAAGCCATTATTCATTTAACCATGCTCTATTATTGAGCATTTAGATGATCTACACATATAGTTTAGAATTCCCATAGACACCCACAAGGTGACTCGCACGAAGCCTTAAAGTGACGGGAGAGAGAATACTGAAGCCGAGAAACACTGGCTCTTCATAGCAATGAAAATATTGACTGTCTGGTTCATGGCTTGCCCAGTGCTTCTCCCCCGTTACAGATGAGCAAGCATCGCATTTATATGTCACAGACAAGGAATCTGATGTAGTCTGTGTCTTTTGTCCATTTAGAGCAAGATTATCCCAACCCTAGGTCTTGGTGGTCAGAATTCATACGCCCAGCGCCTGTGGATGCCGCACTTATTTAGCTTGTCTACCTCATCTTACTACTTTTCTTCAAGATGGTTATGATATTTGAATTTTTCCTGCTTTAGCAGTCCTTGTGTCCATCAAATACTTTTTGGCATGTGTAATTCCCCCCCAAATATTTCAGTATGCATTGCTGACCATTTAAGAGCAGCATGATCTTAATTTGGACATCAAATATCACATAAAGGAAAATAAAACAAACTACTTATAACCTCAAGGAATTTACCATCAAAACAATGTACTCTAAGATGTACAGTGTCTGGCATGTACATAGTAGGCACTCTATAAATATTTGTTGGATGAACAACAAAACACAAAGGAAATTATCCCTCAAGAACCATGAATGACTACCATATTCCGACATTACCATGGTACCACTTAACATGCCAGTAAAGCTGAGGCTGATTTTTTTCAGATTATTTTCTATGCATGCATCGATGAAAGGCCATTTTAGGGGATGGGAGCACCTTTCACTAATTCAGACAAAGTACTGGAATGGAGCAATGTTTGGGGAAAGGGAAATGTGAAGGATGATGCTAAGTGTCATGACAAAGAGATACTCATCTAGGCAGTTCACTTATTAAATTTGACTCCGGTGAGCTATTCTGATGAGTAAGAATTTAAACCAGAGATTGATGGATGGTGTTTCGACAATGAGGTGCACATGCAGAAATTTCTCCCTGGGAACTGGTCAGTGGGATGGCATCAGCAAGAAGAAATGTCCCTTTTCATTTCAATTGTCCTTACCTGACATGAAACATTGTTCTTCTCAGTTTGGCCTAATGTACCAACGAATAATTGACAGTCATTAGAAAAAGCCTTCAAAGCGAACAGCTACCACAAAAAAATACTAACAGAGAAATGAACATTTTTTCAAGCAGAACAAGGGCCAACCTAAATACTTCGGCATCCTTCAAAGAGAGAGAAAACATTTACATTTTTTTGACTAAAAAACCCAAACCACATCTTTTGTAATTTCAGTCTTACTATCACCATCATCTTTTTGTGTCTGCTTTTTAAAACTTTTAAGTCAAAACTTGATTCAGTTCAGTGGAGTTCATCTGACGAAAAGTACTAAAATCTGGGGGGTTGACCAGAGAGCAACACACCATGAAGTTTTATAGTGGTTTTCATATAGTGGGGTTACAGGATATTTATAATTTTCCATCTGTGAATTGAGATTATTGACAGGAAACCAAGACAGTGGAGTTCTAGCTCTGGCCTTGGGGCTGATGGCCTTGGACAAATCCCGTAGTCTCTCTGTGCCTCAATTTCCCTATCTATAAGCTAAAGGGGATCACCAAGGTGATCACCAAGTTTATTTTCAACATTCAGATTATGTAGGTGTAGCTGAAAAGAAAGTTCAGCTCCATACAACCTTTATGGAGGGCAATTTTGGCAGCGTATCTCAAAATTACAAATGCATTTAACTGCTGACACAGTGATGGCTTTTCCAGAAATTCCTCCTATATAGTTGGAAAGATACGAACTGAGTTATAGAAGGTTATTCATTACAGGATAGCCTGAGGTAGCTAAAGACCCTCAGCAAGCACTCTGCAGTTCACCAGCACCCAATGGTTCAGTAAATGGATACATCCACCACTATGGTAGGCAGCTGTAAACCAGAATATTCAAAGAAACAATTAGGCAGGATAGCACAGAATTCAAGAGCAGGGCAGTCTGTAAGAAAACTCCCTTAACCAAACCCTTTCACCCGACTGAGGCCCTGAAAAACCGGAATGGAAATGAAGGCAAGGCCAAATTTGCAGCTGACTCCCTTTGCCAAGAATGATGCACTAGAGCACCGCCTTTGTGCAGGGTGCGGCCGTCTGGATCCGGGGCTGCCTGTGCAGAGGGTAATTGCAAAGGGTCGACTTTCCTTTGAGCTCATCATCGGGGGGTGCTGAGGTCCCCTAGCGGCTGGCAGAGGAAGCCTGAATGTCCGAGTTTCATAGTAAATGCTAGACCACCACCAGAAGGGGGTTGTGAACCAACCCCATCCTCAATGCACCAGGCTCACGACCCTAGCCCACCACCCCCAGTGTCAATAGGAAGCTGTTGTGGTAATAGTATTTTAAAGAAGTAGGGGCTGTACAAGGGAGATGACAGAATGTCAAGGAAGAAATAAACCTCTAAGTCCTCAAACTTTTAGAAAAGATGCATAATTTTCTCAAGATGCTATTTTTTTCCAATTGAAGAATTACCTGTAAGAAAGTTTAAAAAAATTGGGAGTTGTCATTTTGGACAAGATATTTAAAACCCTACTGCCAATCTTCCCTCGTAAGTGATCCCACCCCTCCGAAAGGAAATGCCTTCCATATTCCTTCTAAAAAAAAAGGCAAAACAAAACAACTTGAAAACTGTTTCTTCTGCTCCCTGAGACACAAGGGCCGTTGTCTTCCTACCTTTGGCCCCACTGATCTCGACACGACGTCCTAGACCTGGAACCCAGATGGGGGAAGGTGGAGTGAGGTGGGTGGGTTGATTGACGCACGTGGCAAACAGCCTAAATTAGGAACCTGGGGGTGGGGCAGGGCTACGCCCTAAGGCACTTGAGTTTTTTTTTTTACACCTCAACACCTCATCACTTTCATTCCAAATAGCAAAGAAATTACAAGGAAACAGTTAAACTTAATTGGAGGTAAATAATAAAGTGACAAGTTTCTCACTCAATGCTCCCCGTCCCCTGCTGTCCCTGGTTGACTCGGCCGGGAGGCTGAGGTTCCCGCTGAGGAAATGAGGTCTAGGACGCCTTTGGGACCGTCTGTGCGTGTGAAATTTGCCGGGCCGAGCCCTTTCCCCCTGATTTCTGGCCGTGTAGGTCAAGGATGGAGTGAGTGAACCTGGCTGGGGACTGCCTGGCTGGACAACTGGACCGAACCGCAGAGGCTCAGCTAACGGGTGCGGAGGCGGTGGGAGGGTGTTCCGCGCGCGGGCTGGACGGTCAAAACCCCGGCGCCGGGGGGCGTGCGCGGCCCACGCCGGGCCTGAGGTCTTGACAAATCGCGCAGAAAGAAAACAAAAAACCAAAACAAAACCCACCGGCAGCCCCACGTTTCTTTGCAAAGAAATCGTGGGTGGAGCTCAGAGCTGGGTGGCTGAGAATTCCGAGAGGCCGCCTCCGCCCGCCCACCCAGCGCCTCCGGAGCGCGGCGCGTCCTCCTCGGCCCCCGGCCCCCCGCTTAGGGCCCGGAGAAGAGGTCGAGGTAGAGCGAGCGACTCGTTCTGGTGCTTCCCCGGTACTCGGCTCTGCTCCTCGGTAGTAAACAAAGTGTCGCTGCCGCTTCCACGCTGGTTTGCCTCCTAGCAATCAAAACACTGAGAGGGCGAGAGACTCACGAAACACTCGAGAATTACCAGAAAATAAAAACATCCAAAAAGAGAGAGAGCGTGAAAGAGAAAAACACCTCATTACCCCCCACCAACCCACTGCCGCCTCCCGGTGGAAAACCAGCCCCCGCCCCGGTCGGCGTCCACTGGCTGCCTCCGCGGCGGTGCCGCGTGTCGATTGGCCACGGTAGCTGTCAGTCAGGGGCGGGCCGACGCGCGCGCCGCGGCGGGCGGGGGGTAGCGGCAGATCCCGTAAGTCGGGCGGCCGCGTAGTAGCTGCAACCTCCGCTGCAGCAGCCACATTCAACAGGCAGCAGCGCCGTGGTTGTGCTGCGGCCAGCAAGCGGCCCGCGGCGTCCGTCAGTCCTCCGGTCCGCGGGCCCTGTCATCAGGAGCGCGGCGCCGGTGCTGTCCGCGCCCGGCGCCCCTGGCCTGCCGTCCCGTCGGTGCAGCGGACCCAGAGGAGTCTAGATGTTGATGGACTCGTGAAGTTAAGTTCTGGGCTCGCGCTTCCACTTCGCCACTTCTTCCTCCGGGTTTCCGTCCTCTTGCGGCGCTGACCTCGCTCCCAATCTCGGACCAGCTCTTCGCGGCCCCCCCCTTCCTTTGGCTCCCGGTGCTGCGCTCTACCCCTTCTCGGCTCTCCCGCGGCTGGGGGAGGGGCGGGGGTCACCATGGCCGAAGCGCCCCAGGTGGTGGAGATTGACCCGGACTTCGAGCCGCTGCCGCGGCCGCGTTCGTGCACCTGGCCGCTTCCCAGGCCAGAGTTTAGCCAGTCCAACTCGGCCACCTCCAGCCCGGCGCCGTCGGGTGGCGCGGCCGCGAACCCCGATGCCGCCGCGGGCCTGCCCTCGGCGGCCGCTGTCAACGCGGACTTCATGAGCAACTTGAGCCTGCTGGAGGAGAGTGGGGACTTCCAGCAGGCGCCCGGCTCCGTGGCGGCGGCTGCGGCGGCGGCCGCGGCGGTGGCGGCAGCGGCGGCTGCAGCAGCGGCTGCCACTGGGGGGCTGTGCGGGGACTTCCAGGGCCCGGAGGCGAGCTGCCTGCACCAGGCGCCACCGCAGCCCCCGCCGCCCGGGCCGCTGTCTCAGCACCCGCCCGTGCCCCCCGCCGCTGCCGGGCCGCTGGCTGGGCAGCCGCGCAAGAGCAGCTCGTCCCGCCGTAACGCGTGGGGCAACCTGTCTTACGCCGACCTCATCACCAAGGCCATCGAGAGCTCGGCCGAGAAGCGGCTCACGCTGTCGCAGATTTACGAGTGGATGGTCAAGAGTGTGCCCTACTTCAAGGATAAGGGTGACAGCAACAGTTCGGCGGGCTGGAAGGTGAGTGGTCTCGGGGGCGCACGACCAGACCTGGAGAGGGGGCGCGGGGACCTCTACCTGCGCCTGAAATCGCGGTGGGGCGTATGAGGGGCGGGTTGTGCAAGTTTGCTTGTCCTGAAAGTGCAGGGCACGCGTGCAGGGAGCGGGCGAGAACTGGCACAGGTGGGCGCTGGGCTTGCCCGGGACCAGTTGGGGGACACAGGTATAGTGAACGTGTGACTGCGATCAAGTGAAAGTTGGAGTGGGATGGGGACCTAGCCCGTTAAAGGGAGTGAGGAAAGTACGCCGAGAAGTGGACATCAGAGAAGGCACAAAAGTTCACCAGTGAAAGAAGGGGGTTTACGGGGAGTTGCTTTTTCCCCCCGCGGCCCGCGCAGATTTTTGCGGCCGCTCCTTCACCTCCAGAATCTGAGGGTTAAGGGCGGCTCCCAGCTTGGGCCGCGCTGGGGAGCCGTTTCCGCCGCACTGGGCCGGGATGGACGCGGTGAGGGGCATCGGAGCCCCGCCAGCGAGGGACAGGGCTTGCAGGTGGAGGGGATAGGCGCGAGCTTGTCTGTGGGGGTTGGCCACGCAGTTTTTGGAGGCCGATGTACATTTTGTTTTGTTTTGTGTCCGAAGTGGACTTAAGTGGAGGGAATCGGTCGCGCCAATCCCGAGGTAATGCATCCAACACGTGCAGTGGGGTGGCCACCGCCTGCAGAGCTGTGGCGCCGGGCCGCGCAGGACGAGCTAAAGTTCAAGTGTGACCCTCGGCGGGGGCGGAGGCGGGAGCTGACGACCGCGAGGGAGGGGCCGAGGGCGCAGGAAGCGAGCGCCTTTAAAGGGCCAGCGCGGCTTTCCGCCCGGCCCAGGGCACTACGCGGCAGGCGCTGAGCTACGCAAGGAAGTGCCTGAACTTCTAGCCTCGCTGGTGGCTCCAGGTCTTTAATAAGCAGGGAGAGCCCCCCGGGTGTCCGGGGCTGGAGGCCTGTGTGTACACCTTCTCTCTCGCTTTGCCACCTCTGTGTTTCCAACCGAGCGCGGAGGTACAGATCTGAAGGCCTCATCCTGACTATACAGCAAAATAAAGATAATCATAATTTTCACAGCATAATCTGTAATACGCACTTGTTACACCGGGGTGATTTTACACATAGGTATTCCTGTGGTTACTGTGTGTCGAAAAGGTTAAACTACTCACATCGTGTTTGTTGAAGTTCCTGGAGAGAAGGACACAGGACTTTATTTTTTCCAGAGTGAGTTTTAGAGTAAAGTTACCACTTACAACTTAAGAACTAGGCACCCATGCTCTTTATCAAGTGTTTCAAAAAGGCAAAGTGCCTCCTTAGTAGGTTTGTAGTTGTGAGTAGGAGAAACAGTTTATTCTATTATCTGTTAATTGTATTATTTTCCATTAGAACTGTAAACCCACTTTTGCCACACCCTATATTCAGTCATAAGTCGGGATTGTCCACCAAATCCAATTTTATTTAACATTTGAATATATAACTGCTGCCTTTACTTGCTCATTTACCATCCTACTTGAGCTATGATTAAAAGCATTTGCCATTTTAAAGTAATTTTTCTTTTGCCACTTAAAGTACAGGGTGTACTGACGCCATCCTTCCACTCCTTTACGTTCTTGGAAATGGATACAACCTGTTTAAGCTTGTTGGAGTGCCAGAGTTTTGGTAATGACTTTAGTTTTGTCTCTCAAATGGTTGTAAGTCAGGGTATCATCCTTAAACTAGGAATATGACTAAACTTTTGCGATTTCGTGCTTAGTAAAGAAACAGATAATAAAGGCATATCATTCCCCAACTATTTTTATTAGGTTCTTGTTCTGATTCCCCCCCCCCCCCAAGTGCAATTACACAATTACCATTTTTAAGAGTTTACTTCACAGAACTAGCAGGCCCATTAAGTGTTAGGGTTCTGTGTGCAGACCTGGAGGCCCTGGGGCAGCTCCCTGCAGAAGTCTGGCGGGGCTTCCGGAGGCCGCAGGCCGCCTTCTCAAGTGAGTAGATGTTTCGAGTGTGATCAGGAGTCAGTTGGTGTAAGTCAGATTACAGCAAGTGCATTTTCACTTTGAGTAAAAGGGTATTTTAAGAAGAAAAGAAAAAAAGACATGAGGTGTTCTAACTCATAACTAGTCTTACGGTCAGAGTTTTCATAAAAATGAGTTACTTGTTAAAACCAAGTTTCACTCAGATCTGAAAGATTCTCCTGTTTTAAACACTCAAAAAAGGGAGAAGTTGAACTCTAAAAGGCAGATCAACCAAAAACTTAACTGTTTTAGGGCTGAGGGGCTGCTGCTTTGGAACACTTAGGTATTTCCTGTGATTTACTGCTGGGAATTAGACTGAATCTTTAATCAAATACGGTTTCTTGTGCTTTACTTCCTGAGAATTTGAAAGCCATTTGCATGGATAAAGTAGTTTGGAAAGCTGTTAAAGAGCTCAAAAACTGCTAGTTCCTTAAATGCTGGTTATGTTTTGGGGTCTAGCATTTTGTATTTGTGGGAATGGTACCTTAATTCTCTTCTACACTTGTTTGAACATTGGCTACAGCTGTCATAAGATTGCACACTAAGTAGAAGCAAAGGCCTTTGGAAAACCCGGGATCTTCTAAACCGTGAACAGTATTTGTAAATAGTGAAACTTCATTTCCATGACCTGCCTTTTTTTTTTTTTTTTTTTTAAATACATAGAAAGCTTTCTAGAGTTTGGGAAGTAGTAGTGTGAGTTATGGCCTTTTTTTTGGGTACATGGCGGTTTTGAGTTGACTTTAGTCTTTTGTTTTGATATTATTTGGGACACTTAATTTAGGTTAACTGAATGCTTCCACATCCAAGACTCAACACATGTTAAGGAAAATTTAAATTGTTTATTATGAAGTAACTCAGATACTCTTTATGTTGGAATGAAGTGTCTTTAATTTGGTCTGTGAGCTGAGAGTGCATTTCCTTGCATTTTAAAATTTGCATCTGCGTTGTAAGTAATTTGGGGGTTGAGCTGCATGTGAGTGGTTCGCAATACTGACCCTGAGATCCAAGATGGGGAGGTGGTTCTCTTCTGCTGTGTAGTCACATTCGACTTAAAGAGCCCTGGTGTGGCCAGCTTCCAGATTGTTACTGAAATAACCTTAAAGAAAACCCTTTTACAGTCGGGTGAAAATTGCAATATCTGCATTCGAAAGGAGCATGAGGAAAGAGATTAAAATTGGTTAATGGAATTATGCAGCCAAGTATATCTTATTTGCTAAAAAGGTAAAAACTGTGAGACTGATACACAAGTATCTTATGAGATATTTTTTCAGATATTTAAAAATAGATGCCAAGTATAAATATCTTTGAGACTTGTAGGAACTCTGTGGGTTTTACTTTATATTTTTTTAATTGACTATAGAGAGAGTGAGGGGAAAAAGCCACATCAGTTTGTTCCACCTGTTTATGTACTCTGGTTGTTTCTTGTATATGCCCTGACCAGGAATGAGCGCACACCTTGGCATATGGGGATGATACTCTAACCAGCTGAGCTACCCGGCCAGGGCAAGAACTTGATTTTTATTTTACCTGTGTTTTTGTGTATGGCAGGAGAGGTGGCTTCTATTTTTGAATGATACTGAGCTTTTTTTTTAAGTGGCAAACATTTGAATATTGGAAAGAAAGGTTTTAACATTTTCACGTAAACTTTAAACAAGGTTCAAGTTCGTGGAGACCTTCCCAAAATTACTGGGAGGCTATCGTGTTGGCAGTGGACACAAATATTGCTGGATATTGTGCTTGGTACAGGGAATGGAAGCGGACATTTGCAGTGAAGATGAGGGGAAATAATACTCAGCAGTTCGTTAGAATCCCCAGTTGGCTGGAAACTTTTTGCCTGTCCTTAAGTTTTTCATCCAAACTCCTAAACTGCAATTCTGCATGACTTTCTAAGAGAGCAGCTGTCTGTATTTGCCTGGAATTTCTTTGGGAAGCCTGAACTATTTGTATTTTTCTGGAACACTCTGCCCTTGGAAACTACCCAGTACCCTGGCATCATGGGAATTTACTTGGCTTTTTTTTTTTTTTGGTCTGTGTGTGCTGTAACTTTGGTGCTTCCTGGAATCCACTTGGAAGGGCAGTGTAACCTCCGTGGCGATTGGAGAGAGCAGAGGAGTTTGCAAATGTGTGCAGCATTTGGAGCCCAGAGTGGATTCAGTCCTGCTTGCCTGCAGCTCAGGATTCACCTTGACCTTCATAGGAACAACGAGCAGAGACTTGCCCCATTGGCCCTGCCCCTGCGACCTCCCTTGGGCCACATAACCGCCTTTTCTCTGTGCATACAGAATTCTGAAGTTGCTGGGGTTGGTCTCACGTGTGAGACACAGGACCAGTTGAACTTGGGAAAAAAATGTTTATTTTGGTGTCTAAGGGTTGTAGGTTTGTATTGTAAGGGATATATACGGCAGAGAAGTGCACTCAGGTGTGGGAGAGTTTTCTTTTTGCTGAATCCTGACAAGGGCTAATAAAACTCGTCAGTGGTGCAGAAGTTTTTGGCAGAGTTATGCCATGTGGTCTTCTAAAGAACGTATGAAGCGAGATAATATATTTTTGTACACTGGTGATTTCATATGGTTCCACCTTTTAGAAAAATGCTCTTTTCACTGCATTTCACTTTACTCCACTTCAGCACACCTCTGGTTTATCATTCTTCCTATGGGTCAAAGCCCTCTAAATACGGCATCTTGGGTCGAGTTACCCTTGCCACTGGGAAGGCATTTGGGCTGCCTTCCTTTTTTCAATTGCCTTTTCACTTATCATATAGCTTTGATATAAGCTAAAGAAAATACACAGAAGTCTTGATGTTAAGCCAAATAAAATTAGGATGCTAAATCTGCAGTGCCTTTTCAGTGTATTATTTAGTGAATTTTCAGTTTGATGCATGTCCTTTATTTCAGGCTGTATTCATTAAAAACGAAAACCAAAACAGAGCTGCCTGGTGAGCTTCTATGACCCCAGTCCTGTGTTTTGATGATTG